ACACTGTCATTTTTTTTTATGCAAATCTAAATGATTTCCCAGTGCCTGGTTAATTGACAATATACTTTAGCAAGAGAAAACAAACCACTGTTTCTAAGCTTCGCTGAAATATCTCATTTGGTCCTGAAAAGAAAGAATTACTAAACCCTAAGCCCCGCTGTCCACTGGACAGATTCGGTATGGAAGAATTATTCGATTTCCCTGTTTGCCTGGAAAGGGAGAACACTTTCAGCATGAACTTATAACAGGTAAAAGGTAAAAGAGAATAACTGTGTCTCTGAGTGAATGCATATTGTTACAGTCATTGCTATCAAAGCAAACATTTCTTCACCACACTTTCACTGATTAATACATATGGGCAGACCTTGATTCTTTTTTTAAAGGCAAAGGAATTTCAATTAGAGACTCCCTTGCTCGAAAAGCAGCACCTTAGTGAACTGTGGCCAGTTGTTACACTGTCACATAACGTCACATTCATCAGTACCACAGTAGCAGGTTCCACAGTCAAGGAACGGACATAGGTGACGAGGAACTTTGAAGCTCAGCTTTGTTGGATATTAACTTCCAAAATGTTAAATAGATGATGCCACTTGCCCTAAAACTAAGGGTTAGAAAGACGTAAGAAATGCAGATAAGGACATTTTTAGATTAGATTATTATTGCCATAGTATTTATTTCTTGATAATTCTAAAGCACAACCATTTACATGGTAGTAGAACTATTTGATAACAGCAATCTAGGCAAATGAAAGCTGCATTTACAATTAACCTGCATTTTTACGATACAATATTTTCACTTCGTTGTGCACTTATACACTTATACCTATACAGTTGTTACTTTCACTTTCCTACTATGAAAGTTAAAAGCAGTGTCAGTCCCATTTCAGTGGTGCAGTAAAATGATTAATGCTGTAAAATATAATGGCAAACAGCTTGTTGCAGTTTCCTTCATCAACAAAACTGTAGCTGTAAAGTGGAGATGTTGCATTTTGCTGCAGAACTCTTTCTCTTCCTAACAGAACAGGTGACACTCAAGGGCCCATTTGACGAATGAGATCAACCAGACTTGGCAAAATGCAGAATTATGAATTTTGACAGATGATCAGATTATCTTCTAGAAAAAATGAAATGACTTACTTCTGCACATTTTAATCAACTGACTTACAGCTGCCATTCACGATGTCACATTTCCACCTGATAATATCAATAAGAACAGCTTCAATCTTTTAAAACTCATACAGAATTACTGTTACTATTAATGAACTCGGTTAAGTTTCAGCTTCTTCGCTGTTAGTTGCAGAGGCAGACTGGAACAACTCTGAACGATGAAGGTATTTTCCCACGTCTCTGGGCAACTAAATAGATGTGCAGATAAAACACTCTTCTGGTATGTGAAACAATAAAACAATTCAGTTTCCTGGGCAGGGGCTGTCTCTACCCAGTTGTGTGATCCACAGTAACTGTAGCTGCTAGCTCGAACACAGTTTCACAGAAAACAGGTTTGACTGCCCTCAGAAGAAACATATTTCTCCTTTACACAAAGTCTCCCACTAAGGTTATCTCAAGGAAAGGATTTTCTTTTTTTCAAGACCATAGATGGCAGTGAACTTGAACAGACTACAACAGAAGCCCCTGCGCCCACTGGCTTTGCAGCTGAGCAAGAGTACAAGTATTTGAGGATAAAGTACCACACAGTCCCACGTTTGACTCTGGAAATCACAATGCACATTATCATGACAGCTGTGGCTTTCCAAGCAGAAGCATGGCGTGCTCTTCAGGTAAAGTGATACCAATACTTTAAAAAATAGTGGTTACCTTTCTAGGTCCTGTGGTCTAAAAGTAGTATTTAATGTGCTTCTCTGAAACAGGAAAAGAATTTGTAATTGTAATTTCATCTTAAAACCAGATTTAAAATTAGAAGATCCAAAACACTAAACTGAGGGGTTCAGATATTACTTTAACGCATTTTAAAGTCTAAATCGGTCTACTAAAAATATTATCTAATATCTAACATGCTTTAATCACGCATACATCTAAGCTATACTTCCTGAATACCTACCAGCTCAAACTACAGTCTCCAATAACAGTTATTTCATTCTCATCTCTTTTCCAGGGCTGTAATAGCAAACAGACTGTCATTTTAGGAGTTCTGAAACGGTAAAATTGCTGATACACAGTCTTCAGCTGCTATTGAGAGCTGTGCAGTGTTTGTCTGAAAAGCCATTCACTGAGGTATAATTTTGTTGTCAAATTAGTATATAGATTGATCTCTATAAAAAAGCCATTCCAAAAACAACCTGCATGTGAAATGCAATACTGTAAACGTATGCACATCTAATTGGATAGACAAAGGTGACAGCCATAATAATTTCAATTGCTGTTTGCGATACCTCGTCCGCCGATCTGGCAAGAAGCACCTTTCCTAGAGAAGAATGCGCAAACCGTCGGAGAGATGTCAGAAATTCATCGCGCACACACCTACTGCAGACGGCGGCATGAAAACTAACGTGCAGTTAACGGGTTTCGGATATGTCTATAAGGGTAATGCCTATAATCCTCCGCAATTTGCAATTTTACACACACACACACACATATATATATCAGCCTTTATTTAAAAGTAGACTACAGGAAGAAGAGAGTTTCTCACCCTCGGAAAACACGCACGTTATTTCTCGGCGTGGTCGTCGGTGAGCATCGCCACGCGACGGCGTGCCCTGTCTGTCCGGCCGGGCGCGGAGCCCTGAAACTCCCGGCTGCGATACACAGTATCGCCTTCACCTTGCCCGGCCCCTCTCAGACAGGCACCCACAGCGCTGCCGACACTGTATCCTCCGAGGTGCGTTTCTGCCCAAAAAGAAGCATCCTTGCACCCCGGTCAATGCAACCTCTCGAAAAGAGGCGCAGAAGAACTCGGACCTCGCCAAATTTAAAAATGCACGGATCAATGAGCTGAGCTGAGATCCATACATTAAAGATGTAAGAGACCCCTGCATTGCACGAATCAAACTATCCATATATGCACGCACAAATACGTGTATATAGCACAGCTTACACTCACCGTCAGCCTAAACAGTGTGCATGTGTCTTATTTATTTAATTTCTCCCGATCCGCCCCATCCAACCTAGAAGATCGGCACGTATTAGATCCTTAACGCAGAACATCCAGCAGCCAGCAAACCCCACAGAATGCATACATGATATGTGCGTTGTGCAGAAAGAGATTTTTTTTTACCTGATTCGGCTTGGCCAGCCTGTCCAGTCCCGCATCTCCGCCACCGCCAGCTGTATCGCCGGGAGAGACGGGGCTTTTCGCTAGACTCTGCTGTCCTGTTCCCAGCTCTTTATTCCCAGCTCCCTGCTGCTTACTTTTCTTCCGAGCCATCCTACAAGTTTCAGCGATAACCTTCGGCCCAGTTTGTACCAGTTTATCCGGTGGGAAAACCACACTTTCGCTTCTTCCAGCACCACAAGCCTTGCCTACCTTCTCTGGGCAAGACAACAGCCAATATGGCGGAGTACTGGCAAACACTTAAGTTCAAAGGTCAATCAAGTGTTGGCAAAACGGCTTCACTTCAACTTTAGGGCAGACAAGTAAATTCTCACCATTTTTAGTTGGGGCAGAATGGATAGATTGAGTCAGATTATTATAGATAGATAAGACTTTATTAATCCCGTAGGGAAATTGATGTATTACAATAATAATTATTATTGTTGTTATTATTATTTTATATTTAATTATGTTTAAAGTTAAAATTCTTTTTTCCCCATGATTGCCAATGTAGTTAATTAATTGTGCCATGAACAATTTTATAAAAGTGGTTGGAATCCTGTACCTAATTGGGAAAAAAAGTCTCAGTCAATACAGCTAGTGAATAGAGTAAGTGTTGCAAACAAAAAAGCAAAAAAAAAAACTTGCAAGCTCTTACCCACTGACAGCTCTCCAAACAACTCTGCCACTGTAAGGCAGCATGGAGCTGTAACGCATAAGAAAATACTGGAGTGTGCGTGAAATAGGGAAAGTTGTCAGCCTCAACATAACCAAGTATGAACAACTTTAAAAATAAAGATTTGAATGTGGGTTTGAACAGGCCTTTCGAAACACTCATTAACTTGGAAGAGCAAAAAAAAAAGAACAGCAATTCGCGTATGACACGTTGTTTCCCCCCCTCCTTCCCCAGATAAGAGATCCAAACCGAAGGCACCCCCCCCCCCGGACCGCAATACATCAATCACCCCGCTTCACGGAGCCGCAGGTGAGCCCAGGTGCTGGGAGAGAGGCGGTCGCGAGCCCGCGGGGCGTGACGTCATGCGCCGCCCCCCCAGCTTGAAAAGGCGTGGAGCGGCGGCGGCGGCCAGCCTTGAGCACTGAGATTAAAAGGCGAGACATGGGGTTCTGGGTTTTCTTCTTCTTCCCCAAGTTTTAAAGTGACTCCAGCGAGGTAGCGTCTTGGGGAAAGCAAGGCAGGATTAAAGCAAGCAAGCAAGCAAGCAAGCAAGCAAGCAAGCAAGCGTGCCTGCGTGTTGGGGCGGAAAGCCTACAACAAAAAAGCCGCCGAGTAAAAGTGTCTTTACCTGGAAGTATAGAAGACGCCCAGGTAAAACAGGAACTGAGACGCCTCATTTCGCGAAAGTGAGCCTGGCTTGCTTGAATACCAAGCATGCGGGGCGCTGTAGCAACCGGGCGTGAAAGTCGGACAAAGAAATGAAGACAACCAGAAGACGCAAAGTTGTGTGTTTTTTTTTTTCTTCATCCAGTTGCTAGTACTTCGTACTTCCTGAGAACACCGCGGAGTGCCTTGGAAGTATGACGCGATTGAAACTGATTGATTTCGCAACTCCGAGGTGATATCACGGCAAAATCAAACGGCAACTGTATGTATTTGTGTGTGTGTGTAGTGGGAAAGATATCGATCTTTGGATTATTTATGTAGACATGTACCGACAGAAAGTTTTTCAAGCAGGGCTACGGTAACTTAAACTGGAAGCTCTCCGAAAAGCCCCGGAAAACTGAGATGTTGTTCTATTAAAGACCCGACACTAACCTACAAAGCTCCGTGCTACCAGAAACTTTTCGTCTCACGAAGGCGATGAAGCCGAGAAGCTAATTCGCGAAGGAAAAAAGGGGAACGTGTAACAGGCTTGAAAAATCGCCATAAAACCCTGCCAGTTCTCTTTGACCAGCAGATTTAAACGTCCTAACTCGAGAACATCATCGTCCTTTTAAAAAAAAATGCTCTCAGCCCTCATGAGGAGATGGTTTTGCCGGCCAAAGGTAAGTTTTTCTATTTGTTTTCGGGCAATTCCTGACACCTACATTGATCATCCCGAAACCTTATCCACTTTCTCTTGCATTGACATGGGCCGCAACAAAACCACCCTGACCGATGTAGCTTCTTGGTAAGGGATAACAGTCTGTAGATGACCACTCATAAAACATTAGGAAGCATAAAGGATAGCATTTTACACTAATAAAAGTAACCAGAGGCGGCAAAGATGTACAAACACCAAGCTAATGAGAAAGCGGAAGGCTAAAATGGGTATTTTTTTTTTTTCAAATACGATTGTGTGATGCCTGTACTGACATTCAGGCGTGGTTTAGGAACAGAGAAGTGGGCATTGACAGTCGGCGTCGGAGAGTTTAAAAGCTCTTGTTTTCATCGGCATGCCTAGCCCGAGTCCTGAAAGGCTTTCAAACCCGATTGTTCAGTGAAGATGCGTTTGGTGTGGGTTTTCCCCTCGACACGATTGTGAATCAAATCTTAAAAGAAAGAAAAGAGAAGAGGGGTGAAGGAAGATCAGTGGAGTTTTTATTTCTCTAGCTAGTTTAAACAGGCTCATTTGACGCTTGACTCGAGTGACTTGTGAGGTTGGAAGATATTTGCTCCTTGTGGTTTGTTGGTGCCGCTGCATCGGAGACCTACCGCCTCGAGCATGG